CTTAGCTACGTGCCATGTTGATAAAATTAAAAGGTCTTATTATATTATAAAATTGTAGTAAAAAAGAAGAAACTATAAAGAAAAATCCAAACTCGTCTAATTAATTGGTGTGAGGCAAAAACATTTTTAAACAACAAAAAATTAATATGCGGATATTTTTTTTAATTTGAGATAAGGGTGAAACTTCGTCCTGTAAAGTAAACTTCAAATTTAAAGAAATTTAAAGAGATCCTACGTTCCCTTCGTAATAATTTAAATGTAGCCGCTCCAAACTTATTAGAAGTAGAAATCACATCAATCTTTTAGGATATATCTCACAAAATGGTGTTGATGTTATTGTTGTTGTTGTATTTAGAAGCTTGTAAAAGATCTCTATGATGGATTGCAAGTGTATAAAATGTTTTTTTAATAGGAGTCGGATGCATTCAAGAATTGTGTCAGGTAACTCTTTAGAAATTGGATGCGTGCAATATTTGGACCAAATAACTTCTTACACCAAAATTATGGTTTTGCTATCTAGGTTTTTTGATATCTAAATAACTTCTCGGATCAAATAATTTCCTTTATAAAGGCTTTTTAATATCTAAAATTGATAAAGAGACATCATAAAACGGTCTATATCCTCCACTTTAACTTTTGTCATTAGTGATGGATTGCAAGTGCAGAAATTTATCTAGGTTTAAGGTTTGTGTTTTTAAATATTCATTTGAGAAAAAAATCATTTATTTTTATATCTTTTTTTTTCTAACCCTTTTATTATTTCATATCAGAAACAAATACTTGCAAGGTGAAGCATTTGACCTTGCCGAGATATCAAAGAGTCGAAGATCCAACATATGATCTTCAGGGATAAATTAGTTCTTATTTAATATTCTGTGTAAACATGTAATATTCTGAATAAACATTTATGTTTGTAAACAAATTATTTATATTTATTTTCTGTGTAAATAATATAATATTCTGAGTAAACATTTAAGTTTGTAAACAAATTATTTTTATTTATTTTATGTGTGAACAATATAACAAATTTTTAATTAAAAAATCATCTAACTTATCCCTCGGTTTATTCATAAGCCGAGATGTATGAGGCGCTAGATTTATAAATAATGAAAATGTTGATGTTGGAGTTTGAATCCATATACAAATTAATTTATCCATCACTGTTTAAATAACCTAAATTATAAGCCTTTTACTTTATTTTGTTAGTAAAGACAATGTAAAATGTATTTCCATCCGACATTAAAATTACTTTTTTTTAGTAGTATTGATCCACTTTCAAATTTATAACATTGATGAATCAAAAATACCAAAATACTAATACAAATTGTTATTCTAAACATATAATTTGTTGTATTATATTAGAGTCCCCAAAGCTAACTAATCTAAACTTCAATTTTTATTTATACTTAAAATCCTACAAAGTAAGATGATAAAGGGCCTAGTTATCTGTGAACCTAGACACGGAAAACACTACAAGAAAATTGGCAAATTGCGACGGTTCATTTTGACATATTACGACGGTTTTAACTGTCGCAATTTGTAAGTTACGACGGTTTCAACCCCGTCGCAGAAACGTGCGTCGCAAGGCCGTATTGCGACGGTTGTGAAAACTGTCGTACAAACCGTCATTATTTTCACGACGGGTAGCTAACTGTCGTAATCTCCATATTGTGACGGTTTTCAATCGTCATAATTATATTTACTAATTCTAAATATTATTTATTTTCACGACGGGTAGCTAACTGTCGTAATCTCCATATTGTGACGGTTTTCAACCGTCATAATTATATTTACTAATTCTAAATATTATTTATGCTAATTGCGACGGTCTAAACCGTCGTAATTTTATCTATAGAATTTTTTTTATAATATTCTATTTTTATTTAAATTACTTTCATCCTTTTTTTATAATAGTTTTTTTAATTTAAACTATTTTTTTTTGTTAATATATCAAATATATAAAGACTCATGTATATCAAATATATAAAGACTCACATATAACAAATATATAAATTTATATAACTTAAAAAACAATTGATATTTCATTATATCACTTTTCTAAATAACTTATTATATTTTCTACTAAATATATACTTATGAATATCTAAATGATCAAATGTCATAATCTATAACTTGATATATACAATATAATCAATATAATTGTACAACCTATGATGATCTAAGATATTCTGCCCAATTTCCCACACCAAGTGATGATCCAAGATTTTCTACCGATGGCTGAAGAATTCTTTGGTATGATTTTGCCTTAGAGGATAGACATGAACATCTACAAAAGCTTAAAAATTACTTCCAGTTAGCACCAGTAAAGAAAATCACTTGTGGTCTTCTAGTATCATCATGAGCCCTTCATCATGAGCCCTTCATAATGAGCCCTTCATATGCCAGTAATAACAATTGTCCCAAAGAAATAGTATAAACAATTCTACGAATATAACTTTTTCCAATGCTTTCAGGCATCAATGCAACACCAAATCCATCTTTCTGTGATCCAATGCACAATTATTAGCATATAACACAAGATAGTACCCAGTATGACATACTTCCATGGCCAATCAAAGAAGCTGCAATTGGTGGCCTTTTAAAGCCAAAATGCCAACAGAATCAAAATCAACATTGGTATAAATTTTGCTGTATCGTCTCAAACAGGTAAATTTGATGTTATGTTGGCAATCCATGAACTGTAGTCTTTCATGAAAGCAGACGTTGCAGCCTGCTTGGACAGCCCAACTTCAATGGCGAATTGGCAGAGGGTGCTCAAAAGAAGGAACCCAATGCTCTGCAGGAACAAATACCTTAGCATGTAAGAAATTCAAAGAAAATACTTGGTTCTAAAACAAAAGAAGAAATCAAATTAAATTAAACTAAACTAAACACATACTTCTGTTAGCAGTTTATCCTTGGTAACTGACTGACGTAATGCCACAATCTCAAATGTGCTCAAAAGAAAATTTGCTACTTTTCCTTCCTCCACTGACAGCAAAGTTCAAGTGAGAAACATAATGGCGATGAATTTTTACCATTCTGGATATACTAAGTGGAGAGCATGTGAAAATTTTCACACTTACAGATATAACTATTTGAAAGGAGACTGCATGAGCGTATTCCTAGTAAAAATAATGTCAAACTTGAGGAAGTGATAATTGAAGAATTTCCAGACGACGAAGAAGAATTTACACCAAGTTGTTTAGTGGCCCTTAAAATAGCATAAACTTGAAATATAAGAGACATTAACATGATTCCTATGCCACTTTCCATCATGTTTAAATCAAACTCGGTCCATTTATAGCGAGCTAACTCAGCAACTGTTGTTAGAAATTTGAAGTATGCATCAATTTGCCACTTAAGTGCAGACATTAATGCATCACTGTCACCATCACTATCAAGCAGAAGCTTTTTGGTGGAGTGCAACCAATCATTCTCTGCTTCAGCATAAACACTTGCTATTCGGGATAAGTCATCATGAGAAAATCTAACAGTTGACAAAGCTGAGTAAGCATCTATATATCTCTTAACCTGAAAAAGTACACAGTTAAAATGACTAAATAATGTCTTTCACACACATGTGCACGCTTGAGAGTATAAAAAACTCGAATGTGACAAACATAATTCAAGAGGAATAGAAAGATGTATTATAGATTAAAAATAAGAGGTATTACAGAAGAGAGAGATCCTCATTATTCATAGATCCCATGGTTCGATACGATAAAGATTGATCTCTCTTATAACATCAAGATCAATTTTCTGAGAAGCAATTTTCTTTCTGAGATAATAACCAACAAGTTCTTCATCAGTTGGGTGGAAACGAAAGCCTGGTGGGACACATAACTCCATGGACTCCATCATATCAAATTATAGTCGTTGCTGCATAAAATTCACCACCGCAATTAGTACTCACCACCACACTCACTTGACTTTCTTCATCATGTTTGAATTATAACCAAACAGGATGTGATGTATGTGAGTACAAATATCAATATATATATATATATATATATATATATATATATATATATATATATATATATATATATATATATATATATATATATATATATATATATATATATATATATATATATATATATATATATATATATATATATATATATATATATATATATATATATATATATATATATATATATATATATATATATATATATATATATATATATATATATATATATATATATATATATATATATATATATATATATATATATATATATATATATATATATATATATATATATATATATATATATATATATATATATATGAGAGAGAGTGATAGAAAAGTTGACAAGTGTTATCAGAGATAATCATAAGTATAAGCGCATGTTATCAAACAAAACCTGTTAATTTCATAAACAATGGTATTCTCCCCAACACACCAGCAAGAACATCCATCTTCACTTCCACTTGAGAACCTCTGTCTTCAGTTTCATAAAATAGTATTTAAGAATGTGAAACTACACTTCATAAAATGCTAAATATAATGCTTATTTCTACTATATCCAACAAATTAGGATAGAAAAGAAACCAAAAAACAGTCTAGTGTATTGATGTGAATCAATGTGTATTGTTCAATATCCTAGAGTAAGTAAAAAGCACCTATGCATTGCATAATCTCCACATTTGCTGCAATATACTATTGCCTCTTCAAAGCCTTCATCGCCACATGTAAGACAAACTAAGACCTGCAACAAGCAAGAAAAGTTTAAATACAATGATTCATAAAAGTTGTATATAACAACAAAAAAGCATATATTTTAATAAAAAATATACAGTATTATTTCTTACTTCCATTGGAAATCAGAAAACGAGAAATACCTGAGGCAAATGAATTCTCCCCAACACACCAGCGAGAACATCCATCTCCACTTCCGCTTGAGAACCTGTCTTCAGTTTCAGTTTCAACACTGACCTCAGAAGCGGCATGAATCTCAATATTTGATTCCTCGGTAGGAGGTTGGCTCTCAATATATGCTACAACTTCTGATAGTTGAGGTTCTGTTTCAGTATGTAGACCACATTCAGTCATGGGTTCCTTCATCTAAACACATAATAATCAGCATACCGTCCACACCGTCAAGCCCGAAATCATTCAGTGTGCAACTTCTTGGAAATGAAGAGGGTGATATAGGGGGCAGTGATGGGAGGATACTTACAATTGGTTGTGCATATGTAGAGCATAACAGAATTTCAACTCAGGTTGTGCACATGTAGAGTATAGCAGAATGTAGTTTATCAACTTATACCAATACAATTTGTATTTTAGGAATCAAATTTATAAGAATTAACCATCGAAACATTGACTGCTAAATGTATTAAAACTAGTATCCAAACATGTGAGTTGTAACATTGACTCCTAAATAAACCTCTAAATGTATTATCATTAGCTTGACTGATGACAACATGTAAGTTGTAGACATAACTATCCAAAGACACATGTTATTGGTTAAACAAAGGTGAAGCATACTATACTGTCTTCTGCGTGTTACAATTTGCAGATAGAATTGACAAATTTGTTATAACTTGCAATGAAATAAACAAACAAAATGAAGAAAGTATCACATTAATATATAGAAGCCTAATTACAAAACTAATATTCATGACTCACTGAGTTCAAGATATTAAGAAAAGCTTAGATGAATTACGACACGCTAAAACAACATTACGGCTTAGTGTCTAGAATCATTCCTTACAAATATGGTGTCAACAAAATAATTAAAAGCTACAAAATATGAGGCTTGGAATATTATGACCATTAGATCACTCCTTCATGTGTTTGGCTTTTTCGTGAATTGCTTAGGAGTTAGGTCCTCATTTTAGAAAAGCGCATCAAGACATGTTGAAATAGCAACCCTCTTAGCAGGGGTGTTGCTGGAGCTGGCCGATGGACTACAAGTTTGGTTGGTGGATGTGGAGAATACTTACAGATATAGAAGGAGTTGTTTTCTTGTGAACTCAAATTTTTGGTTGTACATGTTGTGGGTGAAAACACAGCGTCCCGACAGAAGATATAGATTTTACATAGCAGCCATGTTTGCAAGCAGTGCCTAAACAAAACCAACCAGAATTAAATAAAATCCTCAACCAAAATCTATTCTACTTTAAAGCTAACATATAATCAATTCTGAAATTTATTAAAAGTGCTAGTCATATGACACAAGATTTTATGATCAAAACATAAATTACTTCACCTTAAACTCACTTCAACTAAAATCAATCTTCTTAATCAAAACATAACTCACTTCACCTTAAACACAGTCAATGCCAACAGATCACTCGCCATAACAACCTTAGCCTCATTAGCATGAGCCTTCTTAATAAACTCACCGTAATCCAAAACCTCGCCTTCAGTACCAGGATACTGAACAAGAACACCACAAACATCACCAGATTTGTAATAACTATCCTTAAGATCTTTCACCACAACCTTGAGCTCAAATCCATCAGCTCTCGTCTGACATATATCAATGGTTTGCGGATGACAATTACTAGCAATAATGAAAGTTTTCTTCTTACCCTTTTGAATATTATTACACATAGACATTGCTTCCGCAACAGCAGTACCTTCATCAAGCAATGAATCACTCAGTTTCAACGCTTCCACGGAGATGGATCGAGATTGTGATGGATAACCAACACCGAGAAACCCACACTTGCAACGGCAGCAACCTGTTGTTCTAACTCAGTCGTTGTCTCCCGGGCTCAGGATTTGCTTTCACCGCCGATCGTGTAAATCGCTTGACCATCCCCACCTTACCATTGCCTTTACCACTTACAACTGCAGCACCTTGTTCTACCACATTCAACATCTCTTCACAAGACTCGGCATTTTCTCCCATTGCTAAACGTGTAAACCGCTTCAAATTTCTCACTAGCACTATGACATCGCCTTTAACACTTATAATTGCAGCATATTGTTGTTCTACTACAGTCAATGTCTCTTCACAGGACTCATCCTTTTCTTTCGTTGCTGAACGTGTAAACCGCTTTCATAGCCGATTTAGTAATCCATTTAAATAAAGGTCGTTTCTGCAACCTCTCAAAACTCACTCTTCAAACCATCACCAGACCCGCCGTCTTCCCTACTTACCATTACACAAATTAAAACTGTTGTGCATTCTGATTCTGTCTTCACTGATACATTCATGAAAGGGGTTTGTGACAGAATTTGAGAGAAAGAGAAGATTGAGAAATTAAAAAACGTCGAGGGATTTAGAGGTTAAATTGGAGAACAAATCATTAAAAAAGAATTGAAGGTGGAATTGAAGATGGTTGAATTCAGGGATATGAGATATTTTGGAAACGTATGCAAGAAGAAGAAGGTGGAGTCCACAACTTTTTTTTCAATATTTTTTAAAAACTTAAACATGTTTTTAATCTATAATTTATAATTTGTAATGTATTTATAATCTTCATAAAATATATATATATATATATATATATATATATATATATATATATATTAACATTGTTACTAAAATTAATTTTAATAAAAGTTAATTATTTATATAATAAAACAGAAAATATTTTACTATTATTTTAGATAATAATATTAAGCTACATTATCATGAAAATTATAATAATTATTTATTAAATTAATTAATTAAATTGAAAAGGTTAGAAAATAAAAATGAAAGAAAAAAGTAGAAAATTAAAGGAATAAAAAAAATAGTGATTATGATTGACTAAAGTAATTGCGACAGTTCGTCTTAACTGTTGCGAGTGTGAAAAGAGGGCGGTTCTTTGGTAACTGTAGCATTATTTTATACAACATGCCTAAAACATTTGCGACGGTTGGCTCAAACCGTCGTGAGAACTGTCGTGGTCCAGGAATAAGGACGGTTTTTTGATAACTGTCGCAAAAAATCTATGACAGTTGACCCTAACTGTCGTGACAACCGTCACAATCCAGAAATAAGGACGGTTTTGTGATAACGGTCCCAACTCAAGTGTCGTAAATCTTCTTTTTTCTTGTAGTGAAAGGGTAGCAACATTCTGGTAAAACAGTATCCAAAATTTATTTTTCCATATCCTTTAATGACTCAATTTGTTGTAACGTTTGACCTAAGCAATAATAACATATATCTGGATTCTGGTTATGATTCACCCGAAAAAAGATTTGAAAAGGATCCCTTAGAATATATAGATTAATATTCCAGATGTAAGCAGAAATAGCATGACCAGTATATTTCAACAAGTCAATATTATTCCTTTGCAATCTCATTTTTCCCACAATTGTGACCAAATTCATATCACAGATTAATCTTGTTTCCAAACATCCTGGCTATATTCATTTTTTATTGCTGTAGAAACTAACTTTATTTATTTCATCACAAGGATTTGAAAAGGATCCCTTAGCATCCAGTTATATATAGAACACTTGCCATTCATTGTTTAACCAAGATACAAGCTAGTGAACTATGTCTACTATTTGTTGATTTTCTCTTGCCGTTTCTCCGAATGCTTCATAGAGTAGACAATTAGTTATTCCAAGTTAAGGATAGTTGTCGTTCAATGAAGTGTTTGGGGAAACTCTTGGAGTTGAATCAACACTGCACATACAGAGTACACCAAATTCATTTCCTTCCCAATATTCAATATTGTGATCAAAGGTTCTTCTCTTTTTTCTTACATTGAACAATAAGTTCTTATAGAATTCATCTAAGTTGGTATTAGCTAGTGACTTACTAGCCTCACCTTTTATAATTTTTCTGTACATTCTTTTATATATCACAATTGCATATGTTGGGATTTTGCATGTTTGAAACAAAATAAATCGATAAAGTTTATTTGTAAAAAGAAAATTAGGCTTAAAGGTGTTTTTGCCTCCTCTCATTTAAGTGGGTTCTGATTTTCCCATATATAAATTAGGCTTAAAAAGAAAATGAATAATGCTAATGCATCTATGAAGGATAGTAAAACAATTTTTTTTTATATAATTTTTAAAGAACTTATCAAAAAACCATGAAGGATAGAAAAACAAATTTTTCATATATTCATATTGTTTTTAAAAAATTTATCCTGAAGGATAGTAAAAATAAATTATTATCTTAGTCATTAGTTACATATTCCAGCTATTTTGACTATTGGAAAGTGCATGAGTCCTATTAATGGTATATAGTCTTTTGTGTGTAGTGTTTATTTGAATTATAAAATTGATAAAATTTGAGAACAAATGACTCATATTGATTGAAATTTTAAATTGGAGTTTATGAGAAGTAATAATATCTTTTAAATATTTAATAGTTTTCTATTTATTAATCTCAAAATTTAATTTATGTTTGATCACGTAACAACATGATAGTATAATAGACTATTTTAAATCATGTTATTACAATGAAATTGAATATTATTTGATTGTGTCATATATATAATTTATTCTGGATTCGTAGCATTAATTATTTTTTAATTTACGATTAATTGTTCCAAATCATAATCACTTGCGCAACATAGAGCGTTTTAAGTCAATTTGTTACGATATCAAGATATCAATTGTTGTTTATTTTAGTTTATTATAATTTTTTTGATATTAAATATTTAATATTTTATGTAATTTATTTTTAATTTTTAATTTATGATATAATTAAGTTTGTCAAATCTACAAAACTTGACTTTGGGGCTCATGACATTTTGGAAAAGAATTATTTGGCCCGGGTTCTAAATGCTGAAATCCATCTAAACGCAGAAAATCACAGTAATTATATTAAATAAGGTAAAATTGAAAAGGAAACAAAAGGAAAAAGTCATGATATTTCTTCGTCATCACCTTCATGAGGACCTTAAAAATGAATATCTAAGTGTAACTGACCCATATATTTTGTGGAAAATTTTAAAAGAGAGATATGCTCATAAAAAGCGGCCATCCTACCAAAAGCTCATTAGGATTGAATGTATTTATGCTTACAAGATTTTAAAAGTGTAAGCAATTATAATTATACAATGTTAAGAGTAACTTCAAAGCTAACATTATGTTGAGAAAAAATAACTGATGAAGATATGTTAGAAAACGTTTCATGCATCCAATATGCTCCTACGATAATAATATCGAAAAAAAAGGTTTTAATAAATATTCTAACTTGATATCTTGTCTACTTGTGGCTGAACAATTTAATGAGCTCTTGATGAAAAATAATGAGGCTCGTCCTACTAGTACAACTCTATTCCCAGAAGTGAATGTAGCAAGACACATTCATTATGAGAAATAACGCGGTCGTGGTCGTGTGCATGGCCATGATCGTGGTCGCGGCCATAATTATGCTCGTGATTTTAGTTTTGATCACAACTACTATGGTAATCATAAGAACATATCTTTTATCAGAAGTGGAAAATACTGAAAAGAATGAAAAGGTGGTAGGAGTAGCAAAAATAAAGAAAATATTTGTTATCATTGTGGGAGAAAAGGTCATTGGAGTCGCAGTTGTCGTACACCATAACACCTTGTTGATCTTTATCAAAAATCACTAAAAAAATACAAATATAAGGATTGAGACACAATTTGCTAAAGAATATGGCAATCTAGATTATCACAATATGGATGTTACTCACTTAGAGATTGGTGATTTTTTTTGTTGGGCCAGATGGAAAAATTGATCATCTTATTGGAGATGAAAGTATCAAGAAATAGAAGTTATAAAAATTTTCAATTTATTTTAGTTATTATAATAAGTTTTATGAATGTTTTTGAATTTTAATTTTCAATGTTTTTTTTTATTCCAATGTTTATGAATTTTTATTTTCAATGATAATAAAGTGTGTTTGCTTCCTGTTTAAATAATTTGTATGTTTAAACTGCATTAATAACTCATTGTTATAAATTTTTAGAATGAATGACGATTTACGCCACTAATGAAGATATTTGTCTTGCTGATAATGTATTTACTCACATAATTTTCAAAGATAAAACATATTTCTCTTATTTAATGAAGCAAAAAACTGGTGTCAAAATATATCTGACACACCTTAGAAATAATTGAGG